TATTTTCTTTCAAGTTTCTGTTGGAGGGATAATGTTTTTGTAAATGTAAAAAGCTTTTAATGGAGCTAGAGAAGAAGCTATGTTTGGTCATAGTATTATCTGCTTATGGACTAAAAATTCAGAGCTCTCTTGTGAATCATGCTGCCAAGAATTGCAGGCTTAAGCCTCGAGATTGTTCGAATTTAAATTTTGACTTTATGGCCTTAGTCGGCATGAAGATACAGAGATAATCTTCTAGCAAAAACAGGTTTGAAAGTGGTGGTAGAATGTCACATGGAAAGTTAACTTTTAGAGATGATTATCCAGATAGATGTAATATTATTTTGTCCTTTGAAATATCTGGATCAATACATTAGCCAACATTTGATGACTTAAATGGCCAGGCACAGTACTAGACATGCAGAATTCCTAATAACTCTAGCTAGACCTTGTCCTCAAGGAGGTGCTGAGCAGACTATAAAATGTATAAAGAGCTCTAATTCAGGAAGAATGTGACAAATTCATGAGAGGTATCACCAGAGTTCAGAGGAGAGGAAATTTTCTTTGAATAGGGAGTAAAGGAAGACATTATGAATGTGGTGACATTATGGATGTGGTGACAACAGTATGCTTTTCTCCCAGAAAAGTGGGGGTTGTAGTCAGAATAAAAGAAGAGCTCTGATTCACCAGGAAAGCTCTAAGTTCTTGGGAGTATCAAGTTTGGCTACAGTATAGGCTACAGTGGAAGGAGACAAATTAGGAAGGATGGCTATGGGCAGTGAGGAAGCCCTCAACTCTTGGGGAAGCTCTCATCCGGGTTAAAGCAGTGCTCTTCTGCGATGAGATGGATCTTGGAGAAGGAAAATAACAACAACAACAACAACAATAATAAGCAAGGTCAGGAAGAAATGGGAGAGGAAAGAAGTAGAGAGGTCCTTAGGAATCTCTTGTGACAGGTAAGGTAACAAGGCTGAAGGGGGGTACAGAAATGCATGGAAATGGATAGACTGTAAGGTCAGAAGGCTTAGGAATTGCCTCTTGATTGGGTGTGGAATGCAAGGGAAAACCAGGAAGACAGTGAGATTTTAATCTGGGTGACAGAACGGACAGTGATACTGAGAGGAGTACCGTGCTTGAGAATGGTGACTCATATTTGAATGAGCCAGTGATGCCAGGAGACAGCTGGAAAAGTGGAGATACATTCAATGGTGAAGCCAGAGTCACCTTTTTCCTTCTTAACCCGGGAAAGGCAGCAAGTCATGGCTGGGAGTGGGTGGGTTCCACATGGGAGTGTCGGAAGATGAGAGAGCTGAAAGCCCACGTGTGAGGTTGTTGCTAGAGACACGATGAAAACTGGCATCGGGCAGTATCACCAAGCCTGGAGGACAAGGCTCACCAAGAAGGGTTTGAAAGAGAATGTGCAAGAGAAAGTGATCAAGAATACGGCCTTTGTTGGCCATTTTGGACTAACTCTGTAAGTGTCCCAACAGTCAAGTGAGGCTAAGCTTCTTATCCTTCCTAAGTTAAAGGCGAATATTTGCAGACTTCTTTTTCTTTCTTCATCATTCTTCTTTTCCTTCCTCTTCTCTCCTCTCATTTCCCTTCTTGTCTGACTCTTGCTTTCTTTTGGTCTGGCCTAGTGCATGGGAAGTCATTGTTGATGACAGAAGAACCCCCTGTCGCCAACAAAGGGAAACAGTCTTTCTTTTCAATATTTATTTGTAACCAATATTTGTTATCATTGCTGATTATGGAGGGAGCCCTTCTGTGCGCCAATGCTGCAATATTTTGGCTCTTTCCAAGCACAGAATAAGTATTTGTATTATAGAATCATTAACATTTTTATAACTCTCTACTCCTTTCTTTGTACTGGTCTCAAGAGTCACTCATAAATCTCTTGATAACTGTATGGTGTCCCAGGGCCAGAGCCTGGCCACTCCTGGCATTGTGATTAGAGTCATTTCATACTCAAGTTGATGACTAATGTCTGGCAACAAAGGCTTCAGTAGGCGTCATGTGTCCTGGTACCCTGGGCAGAGGCCCTCTGGGAGTACCTCGTTATTGTGTATTAGTACCATGGTCAAGAGAAAAGTTGAGGACCAAGTGGATCCCGGTGGACACTTTTGGGAAACGAGAGGCCTCCACTCCGAACAGTGCCAGTACAACTTGGAAGCCTCAAATCAGTTTAAAACAAAGATACCCACCTTTGTCTTATCTTTATACCCTGGGCTTTTAATAATATATATATATTTTCACATGTTTACAGAAGGCAGTCAACTGAGTTATTCGTGGAAAGGTTTGTGGGTTTGGTTAACGAGGTGGAGGAGTATTACATTTCAGCTGGAAACATATCCCTAGAATGCCAAAACATTTATTCCAAAGTCTGGTTTCCTGGTGCCGTCGGAGAGGAGGCATGGCCATAGTGCAACTGGGGGTTTGGGCCAGCGAGGCATTTGATCCCCATGTATTCCAGAAGGCTTTTATTGTTAAATTATATTCTTTTGGAAAAACCACCCATGGCACATTCTGTAAACTTGATAGCCATACGCTTTGGACTGGCATTCTATTTTAGCCGTAAGACTATGATTTACAGCAAGCCTGTTTTTCCTCTTGCTTGGGGTGGCAGCGGAAAGCATGGGCGCTCTCCAGCCTCCAGGGGCAAGGAGCAACAGGCTGGAGTTTCTCCTCCTCTCCTCCCTGGCTGTGCCACTCTGCTCCCGATGAGCAGACAGCCAGTCCCCCTCACTCCCCACTGCCATTCATCCAGCGCCTGCAACAGCCCAGCTGCGTGTCTGCCGGGAGGGGCTGCCAAGTGCCCTGCCTACTGGCTGCTTCCCGAATCCCTGCCATTCCACACACAAACACATCCACACACGCGCTCTGCCTTCGCTCCCACACTGAGCCACTCACACATGCGGGCGCATTGCTTCCTTCCTTCTCACGGTCTCGGCCCTTGACTTCTACAAGCCCATGGAACATTTCTGGAAAGACGTTCTTGATCCAGCAGGGTAGGATTGTTTTGCTTTTCTCTCTCTGTAGCTTGAGCATTTTGAGAAAGCAACTTACCTTTCTGGCCAGTGTCTGTATCCTAGCAGGGAGATGAGGATCGCTGTTCTCCATGGGGGTATGTGTGTGTCTCCTTTTCCTTTAGGGACTTGTAGGATTCTTTGTGCCATTCGTATGTAATTTGGCAGGTTCAGATTTTTAAAGAGCCCTATGAAGTGCTTTTGCATGTGCTTAAAAAGGCATTTGAAAATTGAAAGTGTGATTTACGGAAACTAAATCATCTCTAAAAAATTGCTTTGGAAAGTAATGATTGCTGGACATAACGGGAAATAACTGCAATTCGCCCAATATGTTTTTAACCCTTTTTTGGCTTACAATTTATAGTGATTAATGCTAAACTCAATTTTGGCTTCATATTAAATTAGCTATATCTGCATATCATCCAAATATGGTCTGTTTTTGAAAGAATTAGATAAAATTGTATGCTTGGTATACAATATTAAAACAATATAACCATTAACAACAACCTTGGCATTTATATATATCACAAACATTTTATAAGCTACTCTATTGGGTGTTTGGGATAGCAATTAAAGTACTGATGGTTGTGTCAGAGTCTGTTAGGCTGGAGCAAAAGAAGTTTATTAAAAAGTATAAACTCTACAGGATTATAGATGCATGATATACTTACTGTAGCTTTTGTCTCATAAGTAAGTGTATATACGTGTGTATATGCATATATGTGTGTGATGTGAGTGCATGCATGTGTGTACCTGCTTACCTTTTAATTCAGTAGAAAACTTTTTTTTCTATTTTTTTCCATCTGGATATTTAATTCTGCATATCCTAACCCAAGTGAACGGAGAAGGTCCAGTTTAGGACTAAAGAACAGAAATGTATCCTTTTAAGATTGACCGGTTAGAGTGACAGTGTAACATAATTGCTAAAGCTTTGTTTCATGACCCCGGGCTACGTTTTGTGCGAAAAGGTCGTATTTCCTATTCAGTTTTCTGAAGTTTTGGTTGCATAACCTGTGGAAGGCATGAACACCCAAGTGCGCCCTAACCAAAGGTTTTTCTGAATCATCCTTCACATGAGAATTCCTAATGGGAGCGAATACAGCACTGTGGTCCAACATAAACACTCAAGTCAGGCCAGGAGGATCTCAGGAGGCTGTGTCTGGAAGCATCCACTTTGGGAGCGTTTCTGTGACCAAGGAAACTGAGGTCTGGCGGGTAGCATTCTCCTGATGGGAGAACGCAGGCTCTTCCTATATGTATACCTGGAATCGCCGCCCGCCTTCCCCTCAGATGCCTCCTATCAATTTCTGCAGCTGCTAAATATAGCCGTCTGTGGCTGGCTGCATATGCAACCGCACACCCATCCTATCTGCCATATCTCGGTTACAGAGTAGTCCTCCCCAGGGTCACTCTATGTACACACTACATATTTCTAGCCAACAAGGAGGGTGAGAGAGAGACAAACAGAGATATGTCGGAGTCTGGCACGGGGCTCATAAGGCAGCACAGTGGAGAAAGCCGGACCCTGGAGTAGCCCTCCGCGTTTATTTTAAGCCCCGTCTTCCTGGGCCACCTTTAGGAGATCCTTGTGCGCCTACCCGCCCCTCCCCCACACCCCCGTAGTGAAATTCAGCCGCCATCCAGCAGCGACGACAAGTAAAGTAAAGTTCAGGGAAGCTGCTCTCTGGGACCTCTCCAGACCGAGTTGTGCCTGGAGTGATGTTCAAGCCAATATCAGGGCCAGGCAACAGTCCCTGGCCACCCTCCAGCACCTTTGTAATGCACACGGGCTCAGAGACCAGTACTTAAAGTTGGAGGCCCGAGCACCCGGGCGCCGGCGGAGCGCGTTCGCACCCGTGCCGCGCTCACCCGCGCCTGGCCGCCCGACTCCACCGGACCCGCTGGCTTTCCCCGGGCAGGGCCGGGGCCAGCGCGCGCGTCGCGGCGGGACATGCGCCTCGGCGCCTCTCACCGCGGACTGTGCTCTTCTTCCAGGTGGCCCGCCGGCTGCTGAGCCCTCCTCGGCCGCGCGGGGAGACGGTCTGCACCCCGCCCGCGGCCCCTGACTGTGACCATGACCCTCCACCCCAAAGCGTCCGGAATGACCCTGCTGCACCAGATCCAAGGGAACGAGCTGGAGCCCCTGAGCCGGCCGCAGCTCAAGATCCCCCTGGAGCGGCCCCTGGGCGAGGTGTACGTGGACAGCGGCAAGCCCGCCGTGTACAACTACCCCGAGGGCGCCGCCTACGAGTTCAACGCCGCGGCCGCCGCCTCCGCGCCGGTCTACGGCCAGTCCGGCCTCGCCTTCGGCCCCGGGTCCGAGGCGGCGGCGGCCTTCGGTGCCAGTGGCCTGGGGGGCTTCCCCCCGCTCAGCAGCGTGTCTCCGAGCCCGCTGGTGCTGCTGCACCCGCCGCCGCAGCTCTCGCCCTTCCTGCAGCCCCACGGCCAGCAGGTGCCCTACTACCTGGAGAACGAGCCCGGCGGCTATGCGGTGCGC